GAATATGTTTTTAAAGTTCAAAAAATGGGTGAAATGATAACCTTTTAAAAACAACCAAATCTACTAGCTGAAATTCAATTTTGGGGATCAAAGGTGCTGAGAAAAAATTAACAGTTTTTTATTCTAGGGTGATTATTTTTGTGATATTGCATGCCAAAAATAAGGTAAAAATAAGTTGTTTTGTTATTTTATTTGATTTATTACTAAAACAATGGTTATGCAAGATTTTGGATTACAAGATAGGGATCACTGACTATAGTGGCTTATAGTTTGAGGGTTTTCTGGAATAATGTAGTTTTAAGGGTTAAAAAATATCACAAAATTTGTCAATTTCAAAATTAGGTGTCTATAGATCTACATGCTTTGTGTCATTCTTTGGGTTTCAAATTTAAAAAATGGGATGACAAATGTTTTTAAGTCATAAGAGTTTCCAACACTAGAACTAAATCTCCCTAGGGTTTGAAAGTTCTTCTTGCTTTGGTTGTTTAAGGTGAGCACTTTGTACAAATAACATTCCGCACTTTATGTTTATGGGCCACTTAATGGAAATTATAGAGTTATTTTTAGGAAGCTTATATTCCATACATTATTTATCCGTGGATTGTACAGACCATTTATATTTGTTATAAGGAGGTCATAATTAGGACTAGCCTGGCTAGAGGTCTGTTACAAAGTTCGTGATTTTTTTTTTGAACTTTGAGTTTAGTCAATATTATTCTCACAACTAATCGATTTGATATCTGATGAACAAGCAAGAACGATTGTGACTTCCATGTATTAAAATTAAATGATCTTTTTATATACATTTCTATTTATCCATCTCACATTTTGATCGCCACCAATGAGAAAGAGATTCTTTTCCAATTTTATATTAATGCAAATTATTCTAGGGCAGGGTCCGTCGCTCTTAGGTTTGGATCCTGGGTTTTACAAAACTTACCGCTTTCACTTGTTTGGTTCATCAAAATATGGGTTTTGTGTCATGCCATTTGACCTAAAATGAGGTTCACCGTCTTCGGTAAAGAAGTCGGTGATGACAAATCCAGGGTTGGGGCAAAACTGGATTTTGGCTGCAAAATCCAATCATGTTCCCCTTGCCAATAATAACTCTCATCTCAAACAGACTTCTCTCAAGCTTTTCTCTCTCTCCACTTGCGAATTACATTTTTCTCTCTCTTGCAAATCACATTTTTTTTCTCTTACTTTCTCTTACTTTCTCTCTCATAGGCTCTCGGCAAATGAAGATGAAACGTCGAGAACTTATGCACACACAGTCTCTCGCTATTGATAATGAGCTTTGTGGTTCTTTTTTTTTTTTTTTAGGAACCTTTTATTTAATTTTTTTGGGTTACAGGAACTTCGGAGTTTTTCAAGTTTATTTAGGTATTTTTGCACTTTTAGGGGCTTTTGTGGGAACTTTCAGTTTCTTTTTTGAGATTTTTTTTATTTGTTTACGGGATCTTTTATGCTTTTTTGTATTTTCATCTCTTTATTGCGCATTTTTTAGACATTTTGGTTTTATTTTAGGTATTTAGGGTTGTTTTTGCGAGGTTTTGAGGTGCTTTTTTATTTTGCGAAGTTTTTTAAAGTTTTTTGAGGTTTTTTATTAGGGTTTTTTGCTATTTTTGGGGGGTTTTCTATGGTTCTTAAGATATTTCAGAACTCTGATTCCGGAGCTATTTTGGTGGTTTTTAAGTGTTTTAGAGTTTTTTTTGGCTGTCTTTGGTTTTTCTTTTTTTGTGTGTATGTATATTTTTAGATTTTCCATGCATTTTTGTTTACTTTCTTTTGTGGTTTGTTTATGTACTTTTTCCAGGTATCTCTCATCTTTTTATTTCTCTATTTCTGGGGCTCTTTTTTTGTGGTTTATTGGGTACTTGAGAGCCTTTTTAAGTCTCCTTTTGAGGTTTCTTGTGTGAAGTTTTAGTTGCTTTATTTTTTATGGGTTTATTAATTTTTTGAGGTTTTTTAGATATTATTGTCCTTTTATTGCTATGTATTTGGCACTTTTTTTTTATAGTTTTCCAAGTATTTTATGTCCTTTATGCACTTTTTTTAAAGCAATTTTCTCTTCTTTTAATGACTTTTTCAGGTATTTTCATGTCTTTTAAAGTATTAGTTGCTCTTTTCTTGCACTATAATATTGTCAAGAGAAATATTAAAGGGAAAGTTTATATGAGGTTGTAACTTTATCTTGTGGGAGTAAAGTGCACCTCAAAACCCCAGTGGAAAAGAGTGTTACAAAGTTGGGAAACTTCTTAATTGATCATTTCGACTTTGAGATATATGAATATAAAAAAAAAAAAAATTCAAATACTAAAAGTATTGCGGTATGTAATAAGTTATACAAACCGCTTGATTTACACCGTTTTTAAAATATTAAAGTTCACAGTTAAGATTGAACATGGATTTTCATTTCATTGTAGGGTTTTTACCACTAGAACTGCATCTTTCAACAAATGTAGAATATACCTTACTTATATACTATAAGATGAGCACCTTATACAAACCTCACACGTATATTAAAAGTGCATGGAGTTGGATAATCATCCATGTTCTTCCCTAATATCAATTGTTTAAACATTAAACTCTTGATATGGAATGGCTGGGAAGGTCCAAACATTAAATACACAGAGACGGTAAATTGAGGTGCTGATTTGAGATTCATCACAAATTAGCTATTGCGTTAGAAAAGCTTTTCAATTGAAAATATATTTAAAAATAAAAATAAAAAATATTAAGAATTTAATAAAACCTAAAAACCAAAAACAAAAGCAAAGTAAATTACCATTACAACTTGAAAATTAACAGCAAAAAGTTAGAAAAATGAAGAAAAAAAATATCATGTACAACTTGAAAAGAGATACTATTTAGCCAAAACCCAGGTTTTACAAATAGGTTACCAAACAATTGAAATAGAAAACTCATGTTTACTCTAGGTGCTACCAAAAAACAGATACCAAAAAAACCAAGTTTTTGAATATTTAGAAATACAAAACGGGGTTTTGAACCAAATATAGGTTTAGGTACCTTAAAGCAAAATAGGGCTTTATAATTCAAGATAAACGTTTTAGTTTTTAATTTACAAAAAAATTAATCACAAAGGTCTAGGTGGCATGCAGACATTCCCTTACTTTAGAGCTCATGTTCAAGAAAATATCATATCAGATGCTATAGCAGAAATTATCTTTGGTCGTTGTAATGAAATGATAAAGTCATTTAATAATTTGTCACCGGTTTCCAATAAAATAGTTCCTATAGTTATTCTTTAAAAATTATCCTTATGCAATGGCACTATACCCTTAAAATTTAAGGGGAAGGTTTATAAGTTGGCTTTAAGACGAGCTATGCTTTAATGAGACTGAATATTCGGTAGTTAAAAAACAACATATTCGGAGGATGACTGTAGCTGAGATGAAGATGTTGAAATGGATAAGCGACAAGATAAAAAATGAAAAATTACAATGAATACATATGAGGGAATTTAGGAGTGACTCCAATATGCAGTAAGATGAGGGAAAATAGACTTACGCTACCCGGCCATGTGTAGCATAGACCTAATATAACACTGGTTAGGAGAGGTGATTCGATTAAAGAGGAAGGCTCTAAAAAGACAAGGGTAAGGCCCAAAAAGATGTGGATGGAAGTAGCAAGAAAATATATGATGACTTATAGTCGACTGAAGGTATGATTCTTGATAGATCAGAATGACAGAACAAAATTTGTGTAGCCGACCCTAAAATCCAATTTGTTTGGATAATGCTCGGATGATGTAATATGGCATCATGCCAATTTCTATTGGGTTTCAAGTTTAATTTATAAAGCCAAAAGATATTATATTCTCGCTAGAGTATACTGTCCATTTACTCCTTAAGGTAAAATCCTATTTAAAATTAATCTTAGAATCCCAAATTTTAAGGATGTAACCTTCTCAACAGTAGATTAACCTCAATAAAAAAAGAAAAATCTCATATTATATGCTCTTGCAGGAGCATGGTGTACATATTTTCACTCAGTCAAAAGACCTAAGTGAGAGAATTTTTTCAACTTAAATTTTAGGAACCACATAAGAATAATTAGTTGATTATTATCAACATAAAAAAATTAAAATTTGGTTTTTTTAATACTTAAATCCCACTTATTGGGAAAACTTTATATACTTTATTGTATATACGTTATATATTTCTCCCTACCCAACCCTCATATCTGAATGGACAACTGAGATGGACTTAATGGCAATATCACATCTCTATACTGTTGTATTAATAATTTTTTATACGAAACTTTTTGAAACCAAAATTTGGTCGTCCGCTCCTCTCTTGAACATGCACCTACAAAAATATAAAAAAAATATTTTCGATAAAATAAACTGAGCAAAATACCCTTGAGTTTTAGGGGTATTTTTTCATTTTATTTTATCTGAAATATGCCCCATTGAGATGATAATACGTATCAAATTTTATATTTATATGATTTGTAAAAAGGGAAAAGTTTATATAGAGCCGAAGCTCTAAAGAATCAAATTTGAGCCTATCTCAAAAATTTCACTAGAAGAGGTTGTTTTGATGTTCAAATATCTTCAAATTGATCATCTCAACATCAAGAAGCATGGACATGAGAAAAAATAGATTTCAAGTTTTGGAAATAATGTATTTTGTAATACATTTTAGACGGTTAAATTTCAAGATTTTCAAGTTTTCATAGATTTGTCTATCTACACTATTTTTAAAGCTTTAAACTTTATAAATAAATATAAAAATATATTTTAAGGCAAGATTTTCAATGTTGAAACCACATTTCTCCATAGGCTTTAATTTGATTGTTTAGATCCTAGGGTCTATATAAACCGTACCTTTTTAAAAAATACAAAATAAAATAATATTAGGATGGGGAAAAATATGTAATTTGAAATATAGAAAGATTTCCCTTTAAAAAATTAGATGAACTTGAAACATAATGTAAAGGTTAATCAGCGGGTTGGGAAGGTTATTTTTGCAAGCAGTACTGTACACGAGTTGGGTCAAAAAATTCCAATTCAATAAACAAAGTTCAACATTTAAATCGACGAGGTAGAGCGTATCAGCAATCGAAGTGACAATCGCAGCTCCCTCCTAGAGCGCAGACCTTCTCTCTAGCTCTCTCCGTCTTTGCGTTGTCTGGCTCTCTGTCCTCCTCTGTTTGTCTCGAGCCATTCGTTCCCTAGCTCCCGCCTCTTCCCCCATATTCAAAGTCCAGAGGGAATATACGGATAGGCACTCCTCCCTCTTCATCCAAAACAAATATTCTCCGAATGTTCTGCTTTACTGCTATTCGTTGCTCGGTTTTCCCCATTAATCCTCTCTCTATGTATATGCCTCTGCTGTCTCTGTCTCTTCTTCACTTGTTTCCACCTGCCCAATCACCTCAGATTGGCTTTTTCACTTCATTAAGGGTATGTATCCTAGATCCGATTTCGAATCATTTTCTGCTTAAGTGTTTGCCTCAGTGAATTGGGTAATCCATTACTTGATTTTCTTTTTTCTAGGTATTTTTGGTTTCCTTTTGCAAGAATTGTGTTTGGTTATGTGGATGTTTAGTTAGAATTTGGATTTTTGATGGAATGCAATCCTGTGCTTCATACTCTTGCTGCTTACAATGAATTAGGTTTTGTCTAATTCAGGATTTTATTTTTAAGATTTTTTTTGTTTCACTTCTTTTTTTTCAAGGATTGTGTTTTCTTTTGGAAAGTTGATGGAAAGTTATCCCAGGTCTCAGGCTGTCATTTCTTACATTGGCTTGAGTTTTGTCTAATTCATGATTTTCTTTATCAGGATTTTTTAACTCTTTTCTTGTGCAAGGATTATTTTGATTATGTAGGATTTTTAGTTAGAATTGGGTGTTTTGGCAGGGGGATGATGGAAGGTGATCACAGGCCTCATACGGTCATTGCTTATGATGCAACAAGGGAGCGTAGTGAACATGAATTTGGATCAGCTTTGAGGAATGTATGCATGAGAGGTGACATTCTTTGTAAAGGACATGTGCTTGTTGTGCTTGGCGTCTTGCACAGTGTAACAAACCCTAGTAATTTCTTGACCTAATTCCCCTTCTCATGTATATATAAGTTTACTATCTTTGCTATAGTACTCTGGTTTATGCTCAATTGGGTAGCATTTGTGCCTTTGTAGTAATCAAATGGCATTCATTGCCTTATCTTATTTGCTTTGCTATAGGAATTGTGCAGTATTGTTGCTTAATTCCTTTTCCATGCCAATTTCTGTTCAACTATTATAGTAGCATTTCAGGGAAATGAAGAAGCATAGGAGATTAATTTGAAAGAAGATACAATTTTCTGCTAGAAACATGAAATCCCATTGTTTCATGGAGAAGCATTGGTTGGTTTGTCCACAATGGTCAAACAAGCTCATGATTTTTCTGAAACAATGCTGAAGAAGCGCACCATGTAATGTTCTACTTGGCCAATGAGATTATTTGGCTTTTGACAACTTTTTCATGATTTGGATACTATGTCTATATTGTGCCATGTAGATTTTGTTAGTGAAAATAGATGGCGCATGGAAGAGACTAACCTGAGATCAGAGAAGGGGTGATATGAGGCTGGTGATCGCATAACTCGGATTTTTGATCCTTTCACGTTTTAGAGAGAGAGTACACCTTTTCCTTGTTATTCGCATCATCTCTCTGGCTTCCCATTTTATAGGGAGAAGAAGGGGTACCGTTGTATTTCTCCAACGGGTCTCTGAGAAAGCAAAGGGTTCCCTGATCTCCAACGGGTGCCTGAGAAAACCGTTGGATGTATTGGATTTCCACATTATAGGCTAAGACACGTAAAGCCTCATAGCTATACGTGTCAACATCTCCTACTTGGCTATGACGGCCGAGCATAATAAGTCACATGCATACTTCCACTTTTGAGTATGATCTTTAAAAAAATATCTTGTCATGATGTTTTTCTCACGCTTTTGTGGATATGCCTCTCATAACAAACATCTATCATGAAGATTTTCATGCTAATGCGAATTTGTCACTCATGAAAACTGACTGATTTAAACATTTTTAAGTCCCAATAAGCTAGTGTGCTTAAAAAGTAGTTCCACACTTAGACCCTTTGTTAATGGATCAACGATCATATCTGATGAGGGCAAGTAACTAATAGTTACTTCATCTTTCTCAAGTACATCTTGTATGTAGTGATATTGGACATCTATATATCTTCCTTTGAAGCTATTTGCTCCACTTGAATTAATTTAATTGCAGCTTGATTATCACATAATATTTGGGCCGGTCCGTCGATTATTTACAGCTTCAAGTCGTCTATGAAACCCAGACGGCAAAAGTACAAGTAGTGCTACATGCAATGTATTTAGCTTCCTGTGTGTACCTAGCTATACACCTTTGTTTTTTGCTAGACCAAGAAACAACTGCCCCTCCAAAGAGGAAAATATGTCCTGAGGTGGACTTATTATCGTTCTTATCCCCAACAAAATCTGCATCTAAATATCCTATAATTTCAAGCTTCTCTGCTTGAAAACACAAGTTTAGATGCTTTGTTCCTTTAATGTACCTTATAATTATTTTTACTGCTTTCCAATGAGCTATGCCTGGATTACTTTAATATCTACTAACAAGTCCTACGGCATAACTCAAATCTAGTTTTGTACATCTTACTGCATATACCAAGCTACCAATAGTTTATGCATAGGGAACATTAGGCTTTTTTTGTCCTTTTATTGGACAATCTTTCCTAGACAACTTTACTCCCTTTTCAACAGGAGTAGACAATGGGTTATTCCATTTAAAATCTTTTGAGAACAGAATCAAGATATCTCTCTTGGCTCAAGCACAACATTTTTTATTTTCTATCTCTAGTTATTTTTATGCCTAGGACAAGAAAGCCATGACTTAAGTCTTATCAATCATTTCTAAGTCATTTCCAGCTATTTAGAATATCGTCTACATATAATGAGAGTATTGTGAATTTCCTCCTACTCTTCAAGACATACACACAATGGTCCAATCTTTTTACTTCATATCCCATATGTAGGATGGCATCATGAAATGTTAAGTATCATTGTCTTGAAGATTGTTTTAAACCATAGAAAGATTTATTTAATTTGTATACTTTATTTTCTTGGCCTTTAATTATGAAGCCCTTAGGTTGCTTCATGTAGATGGTTTTCTTTAGTTCACCATTTAGGAATGCAGTCTTTACATCTTTTTGGTAAAGTTCTAGGTCATAATATGCAATGATTGCTAAAATTATTCTAATGGATATAAACGTTGCAACTGGGGAATAAGTGTTGACTCCCTTTCTTTGAGTAAAACTCTTTGCTACTAACCTAGCTTTAAATTTATTAAGTGCTCCATCAGATTTTAACTTCCTTTTAAGTACCCATTTAGAACCTATAGGTTTCCTATCTGATGGCAAATCACATAGATCCCAAACTTTATTTTTCTCTATAGAATCTAATTCTTCTCTCATGGCATTAAGCCATTCTTGAGATTTTTGTGACTTCATAGCATCATTGAAGTCAAAAAGGGTCATGGATCTCATCCACGCTCCAACAATATTTACTAACAAGGCTTGGGTTGACTAGTTTTGGAAGGTCCTTGTTCTAAAGCTAGTTGTATAGGTAGGTCCTCTAATGTAAGAGATTTGACATTCAACCGAAGTGCAATTGTTACCATCCTCCATGAAGGTGGAAGGCTATTTAAGATTGTGGAAACTTGCATGCGCTCTGGAAAAACAAGCATTTTGTTTACATGTTCCACTACATTATTACCCTCCTTCATCTTAAATGAGTTATATTGCTCTAATAGCAATTGGAGGTATGTTTCAGATGTTGAGTCATATTTAGTTTTTATTGCCTCCAGCGAGCTCTTTGATGTGTCATGATGCTCGAAAACCTTAATAAGGTAATCTTGCATAAAAGTTAACATAAAAGTTTTTGCTATGAGGTCATCTTCTAAAATTTTTTCTAACAATTTATTTTCTTCTTCAGTTGGTTTATCACCAACCACTGGTGGATCTTCTCTTAGTACATATGTTATTCTATCTTGGATGAGGAGATATTCCATCTTTCTCTTCCACATGCCAAAATTGTTTCCATTCAATTTTTCAACTCTAGAAAGTTTAGCCATTACAATTCTACTTGCCATTTGCTAAGTTATGTGTGAGCAACCTAATACTTTCTAAGTTCTAAAGAAGCTAAATAAGCCACTAAAATATTTGTTATGTAGTCAATGCATGTACAGAGAGAGCTGCAATTATTTCATAAATAATATCAGTTATTAAGTGATGCCGTAAATTTTTTTTTGATGAAATAGGCAAGCTTTCAAGCACTACAATTATCAAAGATAATATAAATTCCCTTTTATTTTATTTATTTGGGGTGCATGAGCAATATCATGGGTGTGTGAGCCCTTATAATAAAAGAGCAAATATCAAGTATGTGATTCACTTTAGAAGACAGATCAATTTCTATATCACACCAAGACAGTAGGACATAAAAAAATCAATCCTGGACATTGTACAGTTGCTGAATTGCAATTCCAATTAATGGATACAGAGATAACATCGCCTTTCGCAAGAAATCTATCAACTTTAAAGTAACTCTGCAAAGCCTTGGCGATCAATTCTTGGCGAGTTTCAGCTTCAATTGAAGAGCTACACCTTAGAGAATTTAGAATACCACATCCAGGAATCTTAACAAAGGAAACTCTCAAGTGTGAGGCAAATCTAGGGAGTTATTGATAATCACCCATGTTTACTGCGTTCCTCTGATAAGCATCAAACATGTGTGGACCGAGTTCAACGTAGACAGTGGGCTCAAGAGATACCATCGACGTGTCATCCTCTTCAAATAAAGACCTCGAAAAGTCTTCATCGCCATGAATGAGAACATTTAGACATACTTTCTGCAGGCCAATGTTCAAAGCTAAGAGTGGGGTCAAGTATGCAGTTTGGTGGTCTATAGGGTGATATTATTAATTTTTTTTTTTGGAAGGGAAAAGGGCGAGAAGGCAAGATGGTCATCACACATTGAGAAGGTAAGGATTTGGGTGAGTTGATCTCGCTTAGAATTGGGTAGGTCTAGTACAACTACTCTAGCAATTCTCACAATATTTGTTCAAACATTTTTGACAACAACCAGTGAACCGGAAGTGAGAGACAACTTCTTCAAGACTGATGTAGAGACCCCCACCATTGAAGAATCATAATAAAAAAAAAAACATTGTTGGAGCCATGCCAATCTTCAGTGACCCCATAGCCAGCACCAATATGTAGGGGCGAACAATTTTTTTGAAATTAGAGAGAGAATAAGGGGATTCACCATTCTCTCTCTCTCTCTAGAAATACCCAGAGAAACTAAGGAATCACGAATCTCCTTGGTGGTGGAAAGTCTTCCTTCTATCTACCATCGTAGGTTGCGGGATGAGAGAGAAAATATATTTAATTTTCTATGGATTATTATATGATATCAAGAAAGACTACAATCCTTCAAACAAGGGTTACAAGGAGGAGACCGAGAGTCAAAAATTACCACTACTCATATACTCTCTCTGTAAAAACACCGTTTATGGCTTCTCTATAACACTCTCTTCTCTGTAATACAAACAATATAATGCCCTTCAATTGCAGGGAACGAGGCTAGTTTGCTCATAAAAAAAAAAATAGGTAGTCAATCCCATATCACACAGTATCATATATCCATATCACAACTTATCAGATAAAGCAAACAACAGAACCGTAACCGGAGCCAAATCACCCTCACAATTCAAACACCAAAACAAACCCATAAAAAAAAGGGATAGAGATGATTTGAAATTGATTAATACAAAGGGAGTGCATGCATACTTATCCTTTAATTAATTAACACTGCGAACCAAGATAAGATAGCAATAGGTGATATTTTGAAGCACGATTAATACACAAAAATTGGGCATAGATCATAACAAACAAATCACATAAGCTTTATCGTTAAAAAAAATTTCAGAGTAAAAATAAGGAAGATAGAAACTGGTCGCTCTGATACCAATGTTAGTGAAAATAAATGCCGCATGGAAGAGACTAAACCCGAGATTAGAGAAGGGGTGCCATGAGGCTGGTGATCGCAGAGCCCGGATTTTTTATTCTTTCACTTTTTAGAGAGAGAGTACACCTTTTCCTTGTTATTCGCATCCTTTCTCTGGCTTCCCATTTTATAGGGAGAAGAAGGGGTAACCGTTGTATTTCTTCAACGGGTCTCTGAGAAAGCGAAGGTTTCCCTGATCTCCAACGCATGTCTAACAAAACGACGGGTTCCATGATCTCAAGGATATCCAACGTTCATATGGATGTTGGACCATATGAACGTTGGATATATTGGATTCCCACATTGTAGGCTAAGACACGTAAGGCCTCATAGCCATGCGTGTCAACAAATTTGTTTCTTGAGCATGTAAGAAACACTGAAATCAACTGGTACTGTATTTATGAGAATCTTATTGATCACACTATCAGTTCCTTCATGTTTCATCTTCAGATTGTTTACTTATTCCCCAAATTCTTAAGAACTGCTTGACACGAGTTCTTGGGGCACAAACTCTGGTTGATTTCCTTCTCTTTACCGCAACTGTGAAAGTTGGTGCTTGAGCGTGTGCATATATTATAGTGAAATGTATTTCTACATTGTTACAATCTTTATTTATTTACATTTTCTGTATTTTTGGAGGGAGTTCTTTAGTCCTTGATAATTTGGCTATGCCAAGGGGCAGTTTGAAATACACACACACACAAACATATTATCAGAGCCTTATCCTAACTAATTGGGGTCAGCTGCACGAATCCTGCTATGCCATTCTGCTCTATCAATGGCCATACCCTCAGTCAAACTATACATCTATGTGCTTTTGGGTCTCACCCCTCCTCTTTTAGAGCCCCCGCTTGAACTAAATTTCCTTCCTAATCGGTGTTGTTCTAGGTCGATGCTGCACATGGGAAAACCACCTCTCCCTCATCTTATCGTTTATTGGAGCGAAATTCTCTCAGATGTATTCATTCTGGATTTCGTCCTTTCATGTTTTGCTCCTCATCCATCTCAACATCCTCATCTCAGCTTCCTAAAGGTTGTCAACCTAAACTAAATAGTAATTCAGGTTAGTCTTTAAATGTATTTCATATTTTAGTTTCAATATTTTTTTGAATCAACTTGAAACTTTAGGCATGAATAGATTTAAACCAGGCACATCTTATGAAAATAACAAAAAATATTTTTTGTAAAATAAATTGACCAAAATACTCGTAAAATTTTTAGGAGAATTTTGGTCAATTTATTTTATCCAAAATAATTTTTTTGTTATTTTTATCAAATATGCCTTATTTCGATCTATACACACGTAAGATTTCAATACACAAGTAAGATTTCAAGTTGATCCATTTTTTCTCTTAAATTGACATTGAAATGCAAACTACATTCTCCACCATCTAGTCAAGATCAGACAGTGGAGAGGGCTAACTGAAATTATTGTTCCAAAATAGGTGCCACCTATTGGTAGATTTTTCATACACACACACACACATATACCACAGAGAGAGAGAGAGAGAGAGAGAGAGAGAGAGAGAGAGAGAGAGAGAGACTCA